GCAACAGCTTATGAGGACAACAGTGAGAAGGCAGCTTGGATGACAATCAATAAATCATTACGAATTTGCAGGGTTGTAGGTTGATGCATGTGTTTCTAAATGGAGCCCACTTGCGGACAATAAAGCTGACATAGTCGGTTGGTTCGTGCTTTGCAAGGCCAAAAATTCACCCTTGCCAAACAGGTTTCATCAACATTTCCCTTCAACAAGACTTGCCCATGCACAAAACTTGACTTGACACACAGATATGATCATCCACATGGGCCACATGGATGCGAAAATATAATCAAGCCAGAAGTGCATTTCTTTTTTAAAGTGTTGGCCCTGACCTTCCAAAGGTTGTGGCGCCTTTTGATCGTGGCAGCCGATTGATCCATGACCTCGGCCATCAGGACCAAAGAAACGGTTTCATGGAAGTTGGGGGAGGGAAAGAGTGAAGGGATCAAAGAAGTCCAGATCGCATGGGTGGATGTGTCCCGACCAGTGTTATTCGATCCTTACAGTTCTAACTGAGTGATTTTATGTTGAAAACACTTGTCCTATAGCTCGGTCTTGAGAATTCCCACCTATTCCCACGGTTCCGCACAAGTCAGCAGGCATCTCTTTTTTGGCACTGATCGAAGTTGTTCCGGTTTGAGATTGAACCACGAATCGACTTGAAGTAGGTTCTAAAAATGGCTGGTGCTAGTTTACAGCTATAACTGTTTGTTTTGAACAGATTTCTCTGACAAGAAGGGATTACATTTGAACATGATTCCTCAAACGGTGTATATATGCAAACTTCCGTGGACGCCGATGGACCCAAGCACCTGCCAAGAAGGTTCTAAGCCGAAGATGTTGACTCCCACACGATAGTGCCCGAAGCTTCAACAAACCATCATTCTACAGTAACAATGTGAACATGACAACAAACGATTGGGATGGTTGTTAGCTGCGAACACTAATAGCTTCGGGTTGTTGCGTGGCCACTGTAAGCACCAATTTTGGGAGATGTATGTGTGGCTCCCCACAAGTTGATTGCAACTTGCTTCCCTGCACACTCCAATTGGCGCAGCCTATGTGGCACAACACTTTAAATCACATCAAATCAATCGCTGGAGTTCTTCAGCGAGCCATCTTTCAAAACTTCTTTTGCCAACTCCTTCAACTTAAGCATGGTTTCCTGGATGCTGTTACGATCGCTGTCAGTGAGAGAAGATGCAGCACCACGTTGAGCAATCAAATCGTCCATGTAGGTGGCCTCAGAGCAAATAATACTACCAATCATTGCAAAGAACACCCAGTTGCAATGTACACACACAAATTAACTCTGAGAAAGTGTTGGACCAAGACCTCAAACAACTTAAGGCACACAGGTGCGTGATCATGTGCGCAAAGGCTTCGATTACTGAACACGCTACCGAGCTGCTAGCAAATCAGCCACAATCAGCGTCGCCCCAAGGATGAATGTTTTTGGGGTATTTGGTTCGCTATAGACGGCCATGGAGATGTAGGCAACGTCCTTTGTGGTGCCCTTGAACCTCAATCCAACAGCTGGCCTGGTCCAATACACACTTAGGGTGCAGTCCTTATGTTCTGCCAGTCGGCTCCGCAGCTCAGTCCTCACCTGTTCATCCTGCACCTTTCCAGCAGCCTTGACAAAGGCCATGATCTCTTCCACAATTCCATAATCGGTGTTTGGAAAGGATCTATGAACTTTCACCTGTTCTGACAACACTGGCTTCGACGACCGGCGCTTCTTGGATTCTGCACGTGATGGGCTCTCGAGACCATCTTTGCGTTTTTGGTTGGTCTTTGGTTCAGTGCGAGCTGGTCGATCGGCTTCGTTTCCATGTTCCTTCCTTTTTTTCTTTGAATGGGCACTAGCTGCAGACGCTAACATTTCTGCAGCAGCGCCTGTCTCCTCATCTTTGTCATTCTTTTTCTTCTTCTTCATAGATTCCTTTGCCTGTTCAGGCAGTTCCTTTGTTTTTTTACTTTTCCTGTACCGTTTTCCATCAGCATTTCGATGGCTGGAGTCTCCTGGCACCTGGTTTGATTCCTCGGCCAATTTGTATTTTCCATATTCCGCCTCCCACCAGGCATACGAATCCCATGCCCACTCTTCATTTTCCCAGCCATATTCATATGCCATTTCCCACCCCTCGTCAGTGCCCCAGGCTGCCCAATTTGCATCCGGATCTGGTGGCGGTGCTTTCTGTCGAGAAGCCGATGCCGGGCGTTTCATTACCTGTGTAGAGCCGCGTGACCTTCCCCGACCCCTACCTCTTCCACGGCCTTTGCCCCGACCTCTACCTCCCTGACCTTCCTCACCTTCCTCACCTTCCTCTTTGGATCTCTGCTTCAATTGGTCCAGCCTCGTCACCTTTGCACCTGAAGGCTCCTGTCAAGGGCTTGGCACGAATTCAACACAATCCAACATTGCGCACACAAACAAGAATATAACTACAGGCCGCTATCATGATCTGTGACATCAAAAACAAATCACACTGGTTAATTAGAAAACGGTCCGCCTGGTCAGCGTCACTGGGAGTGTAGACATCGATTGCGGCTGGCTTCTTAATCTTCTCAAGAGAAGACTGGTTGACCTCCTCGTTGCCAGTCCCGAACTGTTTGGTAGAGTCTTCACCGGATTCCTCCGGGGCAGGTTTGCGACCCTTCGACTGAAACGATGCCCGCTTCTCCTCTACTGTAGCCAACGGTGAAAGAAGCGCCGGTTTTTCCGGTGGGTACCATCTCTTGGCGGCGCATGTGCAAGCGTTGCATGTGTTCTTCCGGTCCTTTGCGACCAGCGCAAAGCAATGACGTATCAATTGCCAAGCTGCCACATTGTTGCACATATGTTGCAAAAACAAACCAAGACATGTTCACACAAAACACAAAAAGGGTGCAATCAACCATTCACAACCATGCAATTAATTGCATGCCCAAGCAACCAGCTGTTCTTACATTGGATTCTGACGTTGCTGCCGAAGGTGGTTCACCCATTCCAGCAGCGACCTGACCTTGTGACACCTCGTGTTGAAACTGGCTTGTTGTTTCTGTTGGTTCCGTGCCATCACCAGCAACTGGTGCTGGAACTGCAGCCTGTGGTTCAGGTGTAGCTTCAGGCAGCGCTGTTGGTATTTCTTGCTTTTGTTCGGGCTCAGGTACTGTAAGAGAAGGTTCTGTTGGCTGACCTCCCACACCTGAGTCCTCAGTCGGAACCTGACCAGTGCAACCTGTCTCAACACTTGGACCCGATACTTCTTTCTCAATTTTCTCATCTGGCACCTCCTCATCATGCTCACCTCCCTCTTCCTCTCCTTCCTCCTCCTCCTCCTCATCATGGTAAGCATCTTCATCATCATCATCATTGTCAAACTCCTACGCGCATAGCACATAACAAAGGTTGTGTGCGCCCAACAAATTTAAGCAAAAGCATGTCTTGTGCGTGCAAGTATATAACAACAATTTTAACCAAATGCACAGTAATGCACAGCGAAAAAAAATCTCCTTGGAGGATTTGGCGGATTGCCGAGCTTCCTGCTTGGCATTCACATCATCTGCCACTTCCTGTTGACACGCATATACGTTATACATTGCATCCTATAGGACTAACTTTTGATTCATTCAAATGACCATGTTGAATCTGCTGTCCATCATATAATTAGTTCGGCCATATGATACACAGAACGCAACGCCTGAAGGTTGGAATCAAGTTCCACGCATAGTGTTTGGAAATCTGGTACCTTATAGAAGCATGAAGTTAATGAGCGCACATCAACAGCGCAAAGCAATGTGAGCACAGCGTTGGCGAATATCGACATCATAAGCGCATATAGAAGTGAATCCTGATAACACAAAACATGCGAAATCAGAACAAAGGTACAATGCTGACTTCCGATCTCCTTACCTTCATCTTGATGAACCCCAGCAATCTACGAATATGCCAGGCGAGTGCCACAACAGTCGCTCCCAGCTCCGTGTCAGAACCTCTTTTGTTCTTAATGTATACCCGTTCGACCTCCGCGCGAAGAGGTTCAATCAGTGGAAGGGGCCGGGTCTCCTTTAGACTCATCATCGCGAGCAGTGGCATAAGAACTGCTTGGTCCTTCACGCAAATGGCAATGCTCTCACCCTTGGAAGCATCAGATACCACAAGCTCCCCCCCCCCACGTAGTCGTTCACGAATCTCATCATTGTTGTCCCACGAATCAGCTAGCCCAGTCAAATCTATGGACTCGATGATTTTTCTAGGCCGGCCAGGAGGCTTTTGCTTTGTCCCATTCGCCATGCCAACGGAACAGCAGGAAACACAAGTAGCAACACTTGGGCCAAATGCCTTCCAGTGGCTATAGGGTTTGAACAATTGATATCAAGATGCCCTCGACTCTGAACTCCGCACACGCAGGACTTGGACTCCGCACGATGCTCTTGCATCCGCGTCCACCGCGAGAAAGAACTGGCGGACGAGTGCACGTGCTGCTTTCCGCCCGTGGTATTTGGTTGTTTGAAAGGATCTACCCTTCCAATGCTTTGTGGTTATATTTTTGATATGGTCGTGGCCCCTATCCTGAAAATATTCTTAGGACCTTCCTTTCCGCATTCCAGCATGTTCAAAGGCCCCCCATGGGCCCTCAACGCTCTGGAGCCATCGTGCTTGAAGTCACGTGTGTGCCTGTGCAGCGGAGCAACGGGGCGATCGAAACCATCCGAGATCTATTGGTAAACCAAATTATAGGGTTTTCTACCAATACCCGAGGTATCGGAACGACACCCGATGTTTCGGTGGCCCTGAGGCCCAAACCCGATGTTTGCAAGCAGACCCTTTAATTTTTATGGGTTCAGGCTTACAGGGTAATTATGGGACTTGAAATCCATGGGAACATCTTGAAGATTCAGCCTTTGAGAGCTTGGAGTCCGACATAGCGGGTGCTTCCTTGTTGACCAGCTTCTTCCCCAAGCAGGACTTGTCGATTCCCAGGGATGGGCTGGTGAATGATTCCAGTGCACCTCAGGATGGTACAGAGATCCGGCTGGCACAGCAGCTTGGCGGCACGTTGAGGTAGGTTGGGGCGAGACGTCATGAAGAACAGAGAGAGAGAGAGAGAGAGAGAGAGAGAGACAGAGAGAGACCAGAAACATCCTCACAGGGATGGCAGGATGTCCCTTGGTCACGAGCCAGAGCTTAGCGGCATGACCCAGTTGTTCATGGATTTGTGTGGGTTCCTAGGATGTCGCTTGTTTTTTCGGGCATGAGATTGCATGATATGTGAGTTTTTGTTTGATGATGTTTGATTCTTTTGTGTACGCACTTGCGGGGCATCGTGTTCTAGGCGCCGGGCCAGATGTTCATCACGTTCATCACAGTAGGGAAGGTCAATCAATGGATGTCAATGGTTTTTGCATGTTCCACTCCAACTGTCCAGAGCAGTTCCGCAACCCGTGCTTGAGCTGCACATCTGGCCCCGGGGGATCGATCCATCGCGCATCGTCCAAGCTACATGGGAATAGGTCGAGAGTGCTTTGATTGATGCGTTTTTCTGGCATTTGTGGGACAATCTTGGGCCACCTAACCCCATGTGTTGCAGGAAACTTGATCGTTGAGACCATTTCCATTGCTACAGTATATGCTGCATTCCTACCGGACTCCAATTATGGATTAAATCATTTGCGAGTCTTCTAGACACATCTTGACTTTTGTGTAGGGCACGAGGGAGGCTACTTCGAAGGGGTTTGCTTGTGCTTGGCAGGCCTTTGCAGCCACTGTTTGAGAGATTGCCTGGTGTCCCACATGCAAATCGTCTTTGAATGATTTTCGGGGTCGGCAGGCTTGGGATGTTCGTGCATGTTCGTGCATCGTTGTGCCGCCATGTCGCCACAGACGACCTGTGTTTTCAGGTCTCCAGAATGGGGCCTCTCAGAGCAGAACGGAAAGGCAGGGATCTGAGAGGGCCTATACAGGCCTCGTTCACAGGTGGGTTTTTAGAAGAGAGACGGGTCTATCCGATTTGGTGATCCTTCTCAGCAACATGCTATGACCCCGGTGACCGGGAGTGAATGACTTTGTGTAGTGGTCTCTATCCGAACTGACCTGTAACGGTCAGGAAACAAGAACATCACTAGTTTTGATCAAGGCCTGCAACTGAACCATCATTATCCACTGGGACATGGTAATAGGATAGACCCATTTATATAATATTTGTAATGGGCGTCCATAATACATAATGTTATATGTAAACAACCTTTTGGGGATTGTGCCATCTATGCTGGCTGGCTCCTCGTCCACAGGTTTGGAGACACCCCAGTTTTCATCCGTGGGCATGATTCACCGGGTTTGTTTGAGACTTGTGGGTCTTTGTTTCAGTTGTTTTTCTTTGGACTTGCCTGCATTCTTGCCGACGGCAGCTGCTTTTTCGGCTTGGTGACCTGATCAGCTGGATGAAACACTTCCAGCGATTTTGGTCGTCCGGTTGTTCTAGTTTGGATAGGTTCTCTATTGCTGGGGTTTTGAGGTGATGTGGAATGCTTCAATCGCCTGTGTGCATGTGTGTTCCTATCATGTTCGTGTCCAACTTGCTCGTGTGAAACTTTGCATTCTTACTACAAAACCCGGAAGAAAAGCTAAAGAATACTCTAGAACAAAGCTACTTGGGACGACTGGCGTTCGTTCTCGATGTGCATGATGCCTTGTTGCAGGGGACTCACATTTCATATACTGTCGCACCAGTCCAAACAGACAGTGCACAGAGGTTTGGGTTTGAAAAGCTGCACTACCACCTCAAGTTGCGTGAGTTGCATGGTTTGGCCTGAAAGAAACGAATATTCTGTTCCTCAAGTCCTTTGATTGCAACATGTATCATGATGTATGCCCAAGACGGATTGCGATGAGCCTTCATAGAATCCACCGCCAGCTGAAAAATAGCAAATCCCCAACTCCGCCGACCACCCGACACCAAACACGTCTCACACGTCTGAAGTCCTTTCGCGGCCAAAAAGGCAAGGAACACACGTCCGCGGGAAACAGAAGAACCAATCAAGTTCACGTCTCTGCGCCACCTCACCCCCAAAAACAAACCGGAGAGAGATCCCTTAGGAGCGCTCTCCTGGCGCTCCTCTCTTTCCACACACCTGATCGGCAGGTGGTGATTCAGAAGGTGGGTCTACGGCGGTGGATTCTCACGGACGATGGCCTGCTGATCCTGGAGAACCGACCGGAATTCGCCCTCTCGGTGGCCGGGCCCATCGATGCAGGCGCCGAAAACTGGTCGACGTGGTTGGTCCGGAGCGGGAGGACACTCCCGGAGATGGGGGCCATCCAGGGCTGAGAAAGCGGCTACTTGGGAGCCAGAAGTGGTGATGCTACCCGATCTTATGACATGTTCAGAAGGTTCAGAGCTCTAGTTCCTGTTTGGATGGCGAATGTTTCAGGTTAGAAAAAGCACAGAAGCTTCGTCTCCAATCCAACAGCAGCACCTTAAGATCCTTAAAGCCTTCCTCGACTTGCCGGACGCAGGCGCACAGCTTGGGCTTCAGTTCCACTACTTCACGCCCGACCACAAGAACTCATGGCAGATGGATCCCAGTGGCCGCATCTCGCGACTGGGCTCAATAAAGAGGACGGCCAAAAGGGCTGGACCATCCAGTGTGGGGCAGGGGGGCTTGAATTTGAACCCCTATAGATGTTGAAGTCTGTAGACACTCAGACTGGGATATGTGATAGTGCATCTATAGTGATCACGTCTTTTCGTAAGATGTTTATGTATAAGTGGAGATGCACCATCCGGGGCATAGACGTCGATTCCGGGCGGTTTGAGGATTCCTGGGCGTCCATCAGCATTCTCACCTTGAGGGTTCTTTCACTTCATTCTGGTCGGCCGGATTGGTAGCTGCCGAAAGACGGTACTTGTATGATTTTATTTGGGATGAGGATCGCACAGAAAATGCGACTCAGCATGGTAGTACAAAATCAAATACTGTAGAGAACCGCCAGACCTGCCTAAGCACGCAAAAGCCAAGCATTGCCAGTTGTGGGGTTCCATTTCTGTGTTAGGCATTGCAACGTGTATGTGTTTCGAAGTATCTTGTTCCTTGCTTTTGGGCCGCACTTGTTGTGTAGCACTGCTAGTAGGCCAATCTTTTTGAAGGTCATAGTCAGTTTTTCGTTGGCATCTTGATGGCCCCCCCCAAAAAGGCCCGTTTCCACCCCATGACTCCCAGAGATGAAAGAGCTTTGTATGCCATGATTTCATCAGGCTGCGGCACACTCCGAGCTTTAGCCTGGCGGTCTACAATGGGGCTCTCCATGGCGGGGCAGAGGTGGTGCTTTGGAAGCTTGCTGCAACGCAGGTGAGTCGGGAGTGAGGGCATAGAATTACTCCTTCCATCTCCTCCCTGAACTGTCCCAGCCCAGGCAGTCTTGTATTTCATGCCCATGGTGGTGGCACAGCATTCATCGCAAGTTGATGCACCAAGTTTGAAGTTGCGCAGGTCTTGCAGGTAGCGTCCAAGTTCCAAAGATCATCCCCCTTGCTTGGACGAGAGGCCTCCCCAGACCGTCAAGAAAGCTTACAATTGGTGGCCCTTTTTGGGGGGGGTGGTCGCCAATGGGCCAATGTCAGTTCTAATTGGCTGATCGATAGATCAACTCTCACAGGTGTTGACAAACCTACTATGGAAAAGAGCATTCTCCCATGGTCCCTTGGTCCCTCAAAACCTAGGGATTTGAGACCCCAGACCCCTCCATATGGGGGTCCGACCCCTCCATATGAGGGCCCAGGGTCGCGTCTGGGCTATATAATGATGTCTAATGATTTCGGGTTTTGTTCCTCAGCACCCAGGAAGTCTCACCCTGGAATTTAGGGATGCTGAGACGACTTATGCACGGTGAGGAGTTTCATGAGCAGACTCACTGACTCACTTTGTGCCCAAACTTTTGCAGATGAGTCTGCTTCCTGAGGCTGAATTCGAATGAGACGTCTTGCGTCGCACGTCGGCTGTCGGCCAAAAGGATCCCGTTGAGTACAAGACCTATTCGGCCAGGAACCGATGACCATGGGGATTTGTCCGTTGATTTCGGCACGTCCTTTGGCCCCAAAAGACCGCTGAAACACTGTGTGGTTCCGAAGCCCCCGGTGTCCGCTGGACCCATGGCGGAACGAACAAAACCCAGGGGGGGGACAGAACGGAAGCGTTCCGCGTTCCTCGCGGAGTTCACTCAGGAACGACCCACTGAGCATGCCACACAACACCTGGACCCGGCAGGCGGGGAGGGCGAGGAGATGGAGCTTCAGACCACCTCGGGGGAGCTCGAAGCTCCCGAAGCTTCGCGAAGCTCGAGATGAACCTGAGCAGAGTCAATCCGTTTTTGGGGGGTCGCAGAGATGCTCCATCCATATATGGCATACCATATAGATCATATAGCAGCTAGATTATAGTCCCTAGGGCTCCAACAACCTCCTGATAAGGTGGTTGGGGTGGGTTTTTGGGGTCTAACCACCTTCTGAGGATATGGTTGGAGGTGTAGGGAGTATATGATAGCAGTAATATGCAGGTCATGTAGTTTGGGGGGGTGCGAAGTTTCTGGAGTTTGGGGAGGAACCATCAATCTCTTAGACTCTGGCACCCTTTGGGATTGCTCACTGGTGTCTAAGCGAGACTCCTATAAACAGCTCCCCGGGACAAGTGACCTCATTCTTTCACGATGTGAAGGTTAAACTTCCACATATTTCAACCATTGAGTGCAGCACTGATGCAGTAAGGGCGAATTTGAAGAGACATGCACCCCACCAACGGCCCGCGCGAGCTACCACAACGCTTATAGGGTCATGAATTGAATGCCAACTGAGGCAGCTTACCACAGTAACATTGGAGTAACATCTATATCATTCGAGAAAAATACACAGAGATGGCAAAGCATTCTTTGCAATGCATGTAATTACAGCCAATTCTCGGCCTGTTCTCTTCCAACATCTTCCAACGGTTGTTTACGCCCAGTCCATCCTCCCAATCCTCCTCCTCCTCCTCCTCCGATCCACGGCATTCGCTGATGGCTCCAGGCGCCCACCTCGGGCAGCCTCAGCAGCACCGATGCCTGTAAGCTGCGCGTCCTCGGGAGCCGTCGCTCGGCGTGGATCAGGACGAGTGGGGGATGGTTGAGCGGGTGCGAGGACGGAGTGGGGTGGGGTTGGATGGAGAGAGTGGGCCCCCCGAATGATGAGTCCAGTTGGGATGGTCCAATCTTAGGGGACAGATTCGCAAGTCGCTCTATCTATCTATCTATCTATCTATCTATCTATCTATCTATCTATCTATCTA